CTTACCAACCGTATCACAACCTAGTTAATATCCTTTCTCCATTTCTTGCTTTCGTCACTAAAAAAAATTGAATAAGCTCAATTAAGAGCTACTTTTCAAATCACTTTTGAAAAGTAATGACCAATTATTTCTTCAAAACTTCTTAACTTCAGAACTAATTTAAAAATTCTCTTCTTCGGATCTTTGGTTACAACACTGTTCTACCCCTTTCTTTTCCAGTTTTTTGAAGGAATAAACTTGATTAATAATACTGCCAAATAGTAAGCTAGAAATATCTCTTATTAGGCTGGCCACGGACAGTGTGCTAAGTGAAGAATACAACACTACTGTCAAAATAACTGACACAGTATTAGAGTACCACTGATCTTAGATGAAAAAGTGAAATTATTAGCTACGCTGAACTACAGAGCAATCCTACCGGTAAGAATCTGGTTCAAGTTCGCTTTTTACACCGTCGAGTAGCTGAACTGCCATTTTAGATCCAAAAGCTACCGTCCCAAGAAATGCAGGTGAAAAGTCTCGAATATAATCCATTGGTCTACGCGCGTTTGCTATACTTTGCTCTGCTTCCGTTTGCAAAGCAAGTACACCCTGAATACTAATAAGCAATAAAACGCATTACTCCTTTAAAAAGCGACTTTGAAAATAGGTTTTTGGAAATACCTCCTTTGCAGTTCCTAAAGCCATGTGAAACCCTTGTTTCAAGTCATTTGGACGATCTTGTCCAGCGTGAGAAATCCGTTCAGAAGTCCTACTATTTAAATAAGGTCTTTCAGGCGAAACAACGTCTAAGGCAAATTCAGCAAGACCCTAAGCCACAGACATATTAACTCAGCATAATTTATTATTAAATTTACAAGAAGATTGTATAATTTGAAGAATTAATTTTATAACCTGAATCCCCCCAAATACTTTCCGAGCAACGTCAACAACTGCTGTTGTGGTTGAGAATCCGAAACTTTCAGCTCCTTCGTGCAGCCCCCTTACTATGCGCCCATCTTCTTTACGGTATTCTTCAACAGGCATAATAAACAAATCTTTCACCCCTTTCCCTGTAAAATTAAATTTCATAAAACCTTAATGTCGCAATTACAAGTAAACAGGTAAAAAATTGAACTTGCGTTGCATGTGGATACTCACCCAGTTGTAGAAGTGTACTTATAGGTGCATAACTTCCGATAAGCTTAGTATATTGATTAGTACTGATATCTCTTGTCCATTCACTAAGAGCATACTGAAACTCAACATACCACTACAGTAAATGTCCTACTTGGTGATCTAGAAAGCGTATATCATAGGACACACTTTAAAATAGAAGTGAAGAGTTAGTTTAACGCACATCTAAGCACTGTTTAACTCCAAGCATTCCATCAACATTATAAAGGTCCCTTAAAATGATTTCTGCGCACTGAAGATTGGCTAAAGCAGTTATTATAGCCAACAAAGGACCTCTGTTAGTAATAACCCGTTGGCTGTCAAAGTCAAAACGAATAAGTACTGAAGGTGAGAAAGTAAACTCCCTAAACGTATAAGATATAATCAGAGAAAAATAAAATGAAGTAATATAAAACCGTTATATCAAAACCTCGCCTACTTCACAGGTCGATTCATTTTTCATGTTACTGAACAAATTTCATACTTTGATTACAAAAATAAGGGACAGAAACTAAATTTTTCAAAATATAGTTGGCAATGGTATGATTACTTAAAATATAATTCATCCTTCTCTCGTTCCAAACGACTGTCTGTTTCTCTTTCATCATCGCTATTAAGCTGTCCCTCATTTAAGTTACTTTCACTGCTGTCAATTTTCTTATTCTTTGCTTCATCAGAAAGCTGAGAAGTTGGAGCGGCGTAGTTTGACAAGGTTGACAAGCCAATACCGTCAAAAGTAGCCTTGCGATTCAAATCTTAAACAAAGTAAGCTAATTGAAAGTAAGGTAGAGCTCTTTCAGCCTGGCAGCCCCATTATTTTCAAAGCCTTAGAGAGCAGGGCTTCTTGGGAAGCCTCTCCTACTGTTGAAGACAATGTGCCATCAGGCCATAAGCCAGCAGCGATCAAACAGCATTCCTTCACTTGATCTGTTGATTTGCAGCTAATTTAAAATTGTTTTCTCAAATGACCTAATCTCTACGAGAAGCTGTTCTAGCATAGGCAAGCTTGAAAGATGAGGGCGAGCAGTGTAGAGGATTAAGACCACACATTGCAGCTGACAGATGAAAAATTGTGCCGAATGCATGAGCTGTTGTAAATTGTCAAACTAGTCAAGATGCATAAACCAATCAGCAAATGCTGTAAAGCCAAACTGTCGCGGCAGACAAGGAAGAGACATCAGGCAGTATTTGTTGGTCAAGCTTATTCGACTTAGTTGCCTCATTCGTCTCTTTTAGCCAATCAAACCATTAAATCTTTACCCCAATGATTGTGACTGTGTTTCGTGGCAGTCGGTAAGAAGGTGGGTGCTACCAAGCTGAGACAACACTGGATTAATTTGGTTTATTTATCCAATGCCTCTTCTAATCAAAACTTATCGTGGATCTAAACTACAGAAGCGGCTAAAGGCAAGCAACGATACTCTATGTGCAGAGTACCAGAATTTGGACGAAGCGTTCCTGACAAGCAAGTGCAGCTAGATGCGTTTCAGAGACTTGAAGAAAACATTTTGCAACAGTAGTGGCAAATGCCCAGTGCAAGTTTGGCAGTACATTGTCATACGGGTCTCTGCCCAGCAGCACAACAAATTAAATATCTCTTTAATGCTCTAAAGCTTCATTCCAAAAAGGTACTAATACAAAAACTTGTTTTTTCTGCAAATCGTTTCTTAGCATCTAAGATGCTTTCTGCGCACAGTACTGTTCTTATTTCTATCTGTAGATAGAGGCAATCCAATAAATCGGAGGGGAATAAGCTGAGTAAAGGCTAATTTCAAAAACTGCAGCTAGTCCTAAGTCCCTTCATCAGAAAGCACCTGCTCCTGGAGGAAGTTTTTATGCCCAAAGTTGATGAAACGTTTCATTTGGGAAAATAAGTAGCGCAGAATAGTTTATTCAAATAATTTGTTAAGCAAAAAAAGATGGCTTTCTTTGGCTTAGTATAATTTTTTGCGAGGTTTCACAAGATTTTAAATTAAATACTGAAGTGATAGACTGAAACATTAATGTAATGTCAACAAATGGCTGGTAAGGCTTATTTGTAACAGAGAGGGAAAAAACTAAAAAAGCGGCAGTGCAGCGAGACCCTCACTTGCCTGTTTCACCCATTATGGTACAACGATAGAAAACCATATTATAATGTAATTAATCAAAGAAACTTTTTTTGTGTAAAAAATTTTTCTAAGAAGAAATTTCAGCCGCTCCCTTTCAGATTTTTGCTTTCTTTCAGCAAAAACCGTTTGAAAAATTCACCGACCCCTTAATTTTCTGGTAGATCATCTCCAAGCGGAATCATTCTTGCTTCAATAAACAAATGGAGCAAATAAACCAATTTTATCCACTTCCCAACTTAGGAAAACATTTCTGAGCCAAGCACGCCGTAATCGACCGAGTACGAACAAGTTCGTACATCAGAGAAGTGTTTCTCTTATCGTTATCAGCGGGTTTAACATACTATAAATGCGATTCTTATCCTGCACCAAAAATCCAGCCTTCCGACTGGCTGCGTGCAGTACTGCCAATTAGCAGCACAACAGAGCCACGGGCTAGAAGGAAACTAATGGAATAATAAAAAAACAATCAAATTAGAAAAAACAGTTATTTCTCATTAACTTATGCAAAACTAGATCTTAAAGACAATTAAGGCGGAAAAAATACTTTTGCCGTCAAAGCTATTCCGCACCAAGTTGTTCGATTCAACATTAACAACTAATAAATGTTTATTGTCAAAAAAATTTTTTTTCAAAATAAAGTGGCCGATCAAAAAACTCCGTCTAGTCTAGAATACAACGTGGATTGCAACTAAATTTTTGATAGTTCCCAAGAACTCTCAGTAATGATTTACCACAAATTTTCAAAGCCGAATGTGAGAAGGAATCCGTACTACGCGATATGGTAATACGTTCCCGACAAACTGCAGTTCTTGCAATACCATATTTTGTCTTGAAATCTAAAAGCTAAATTAAAAATGAAGCCGAGGGAACTGTAGAATTGCAGTATCAACTTCAAACCATTGAGCCCAACAGCATCGAACATCCTTAAATTTATTGGAAAAGCACTAATTATTCTTCAGAAAGCTTTTTTGAGTTATTTGATAAAATATACAGAAATGTCTCTTTGTCTTAAAAATAGTTTGCCATCATCTTTATACTAAAAGTATTATTATATTTTTGGGAAAAACTTCTTGAAACTAGTTAGAAAGAATCGAAAAAAAACAGAATAATCAAAAGCAGCAAATTCAAAATGAATTTGATTCAACATAAATTTATCAAAAACTAAAAGCAAATTTTTTTACTTTATTTTTTCCGGTTGTTAAAGTGCCATTAAAAGAATAAGTCAAAAAACAGAACTACCTAGCAACTGTCTAAAAATCAGTGTGAAAAAAAGGTTTAGAAAGAAATTGTACTATACAAAATAAGTACAGTGCTCTTCGCCTGATAGACTTATGAAAAAATTTAAGTTTTTCTCTGTTATAAAAAAATCTCAGTGAGGACTAATACAAAGCGCAAGACACGACACACAACACAGCTAGAAAAAAAAAGACAAACAAACCTAGACCTTTGAAAAATGACGATGATTCCGTATAAAAGTCATAAAGAAATTCGAGAGTGTCAACATCCAGATACAGTCTGATAGGTAATAAAGAAATTCGTAACTTTCTCTCTAGTTTTTGGTTCGTCATCAGCCTAACAGCGAGTATGGGAGCAGAATCCCGTCGAGGTACATTAGGAGATGAATACTTCAAACCAAGAAATTTGAAATGATTAAAAGAACAATGAGGATTCCACGATTATTAGCAAAATTGCAAGAGTAAAAAAATATGACAATCTTTTAGATGTGTGAATGTTGACTAAAAAGCTTTATACTCAGCTTTTCAAAAAAGACTTCGTTGATACAGGAAACTTTAGAATTCAAAAGCAGATGCTTTTGTAGCTGAAAGATTTTTAATTAGTTATTATTCTAGGCCATCCTAGTAATCAATAAAAGTTCTATTAAATTTGGGAGTACTTATAAGTTTAGTGCCTAGTCTGTTATTATATTTAATTAGTCTTCACTTTTGATCATCTTTTTAAAGCTTTTTTAGAAAATAGGAGAATAAGAATTCATCATAACGATATTGAGTTTTAAAAAGTTAAGTGTTGGCGTTGATTTCAGTTAATTTTTCAGATGTATATCGATGTAAAGACCAAAACGCCAAATTTTAACACAACATAAATTTCAACTCTTTTAAGAGCATCCGGATTAGACTCTATCAGCAAATCTAAAATTCGTGCACAACTACTGCTCAGTCATACCTGTCTTACTTTCAAACCTGCTATTATTGTTTAAAGAAAGAAGCTAAAGAAGCATTTAGATATTACTCGACAGTGGTTTTAAAAAAATGCTACAGAAATTTTGAAACAATCCATAACATGGTGTTGACATATACCATCACAAGTTTGAACGATGGTTTATCAACGGTTTAATCACACTTCCATTTCTCAAGCCTAATATTTGCAAGATTTGTCTAACTGAATTGGCCTTATTGTTGGTAGAGGTGAAACTAATGCGTTATATTAATTAATGTTACCAAATATTCATTAGCTGATAGTCTCGTTTACATTCTTTATGTACATTCATTACCTCACTCTGCCATTGTTTCAAAACCTTAGACTCTCAAAAGTATAGCAAAAATAAAGAATAGCTAATCTTGACTGAAAAAATATTACCTGCAACATTACTTTATCGATCTGAGAAGTACAAAGCTTATTCCGCACTTCGATATTCTTTACAGCAAAGTAATGGTAACTTGATAGAGAAATGTTTTTGATAAAGCCATATTCGTAGTTTAACTGCAAAAATACAAAAAACTCAAAAAATTAGTGCGAAAATTGCTAACACATTATAACTGAAAAACAGATCAGTTTAATTTAAGCGTCAGTAAACGAAAAAAATACAAGGTAAGGCGAGAAAAGAAAAAATGAACAAACAGCCATTTTGTTCAAACTTACTTTTGACAAATCAAAAATCACGTGAACGGAATAATCCCTGTGGGGTCCCCCTCTTTCTTCCTCCAAAACTCTCTGATGACAGCCGTTTCCATCACGAAAGGCTTTTTCACTATATGCCTTCTCTTCTTCCCGCCCTGGGCCTAATAATGTTTTAAGTCATCGTAACTTACATAATTTGCCTTCTACTACACTCCTAAGAAATACTTCCGTCATCACTCTGAATGGTGCAATACTTTACTACGAAAGAGCCCAAATAATGAAGTATAAATTAGGAGATGGTACTGTATTTTAGTAGATTGTAAAAATTGCCAATTAGAGGAAAGTAGTGAACGATAAAAATCCTGGAATTTTTTCTGAACAAAAATCTTTTTCAAGATCTTTCTTGAAAACAACGATCAGCCAAAAAGTTTCAAGCTTCAACCTTGATAACTACTGCAGCTACAATAAGAATCGACAAATCATTTAGTTTCACAATTTATTGCATAAAATATCAGCAACGGATGACTTACCAAAATCATTTCCTCCAAAAATATGCAACTCCAAGGACAAGTCCTTTACCCTGCACGTTACAGACTTGGATATATTTTTATATTTTGACGATATCATATCATTTTTTTCACTCGGAATCTCAATAAAATCCACCTTTATCTCAAGTGGCTCTTTATCATATAAATGCACTTGTGGAGTATCCTAAGAAAATTTAGAAGTTATTTAAACTAAAACATACTGTGAGTCCTAAATATAAAAAATTTTTGTGATAGAACTGACCACGTTATCAGAACACGAACGCATATCAACTGTTACAAAATCGTCATCAGAACAGTCGGAAGAGCTCTCACCTTTTGTAATACTCGTACCCAGCTCTGAAGCACAGCTGAGGCCAAAATAAAACAGTTAACTGTTTTAAAAATCTCTAATAAAAGAGTGAATATAATGGTACGGTGTCTAGAATACAGATTCTAAGTAGTACTGACCATGTGAGAAGTCTGAGTCATCAACTGTTTCTTTTGAAAATGAGCCTTTTACCAGTTTTGTAGGGTACGATGGCTGCAAAGTTATATCTCAGACAAAAAAACAGTGAGGTTCCAAAAAACAACAGTTCTATATGATAAAATTTCTGAACATCATCGATTAACGTTACTTCACGAAAAACTGTCGATTAACTGGGTTGGAAAAACATCTAACTTCAAAGGGAGTTCCAATTAGAATATCTGAGCTTTGCGGAGAACTACTCAAAGTAGTTGAAGCTGTTTGATGTTGTTTATTTTCCGCTATATTTAGAAGCAAGTGGAGAAGATAAGTCAAAGAGTCGGCACATACAAAAAGCTAAAAATGTGCAGATTAATCATAAAAGAAGTTTGTTTCTGAACTAAACTGGTAAGAAGAAAATGTTTGAGAAACTCATAAATTAAAGACAAGAGTAAAAGCAGTAAAAACATAACTAATAAATTTATTTTAAAAGATCTAGATGGATCAGTTCACATTCCTTTTGAATACTATAATTTAAAAATCTATAACTGAATTTAGGATAGAAATTATTATTGAGGCCAAGAAGTAAGAAAAGTTGTGTGCATAAGGTCTTCAGTACTGTGGTGACAAAAATTCAGTTTACTGGAATGTGTTTAATCGAAAGAGGAGAAGTAGCTGACCGTCATTTGCGCTCATTATAAAATCCAACACGTTTTTTATTCATTCAAACGTTGTGTGGAAGTAAAAAGTACTAGTCAGAAAAAGAGCAGAGTAAATCAAATCTTAATTGCTTGTACAATGTAGCAAGTCAAATGCTGCCATCGTCAATTTTAGAATATAAATTACTAGATTTTATGTTTTCTTTACAACCACGAAACAGAAGCAAAACAGTTCAAAATAAGAAAAAGACAAGTCGCCATTTTCAAACCAAAAACTTTTTTAGAAATATCTTATAAAAATTACAACAAAAAAACTCAACGAGACAGTTAATGCATTGTAAACAACTGGCAACTCACTAAAACCGCATTCAAAACTTGCCTTGATCAAACCATAATTACAGCTCATTTTAAAAGTAGGCAGCAGCCTTTCCAGAGTTGAGCTTTCCTGATCAGAAGAAATGCTGTCTGCTGATATCTAGAAGCGAAAAGATTGAAAGATTTACTTCAAATATACATTCGTCAGGTCAATATAAATTCCAATGCAAATTTTAATCTTTTCTAAGCCGTCAGTTCAGTCAAATTATCCGTAAAATAGCAAACCTCAAATTGTAAAACATCCAATGAAATCAATTTAACAAAGTTATATTCCATTTGTGAAACACCCGAGCTTTCAGAAACGGCTTCCACAGACCACTTTTTAGTACCAAGTAGTAAAAAACTTTCTTCCAAAATGCAGCAAAGCAAGTATTTTCTAGGATTGGAGCAAAAATCGCAAGAAATATCGCTAGATCCAACGAAACACCTAACATAAAACTATTTAGATTTGAGTAACAAATCTTGTGTTCTAAAAATGAATAATGCTAGGATTATATCAAGCAGTCGTTAACTATGTAAGTAACTTACCGCGACATTTGATTTTAAAAGCATAATACATTAAAAAAACGCCAAAGCTGAAAACAGGACTAAAAGTAAAGATTAGAAAAAGACAACTTTAAAGAAGTTTCTGAATCCAAATGAGGATAAGTTAAAGTTGTTGAAGCCACGTGAATATGAATTTCTGCGTTTAATGACGGATGACCACTTCCATAAACCAAGTAGTTTTCAATTTTGAAAAAATCAACTAGTTTGACAATCCAGTGGTTCTCAGAGTCCGAAAACGGCTCAATGTAGCACGTGCTATTCCTGAGCGAAAAAGCTACCACAACATTCTACAAGTAAAACAAAACTTCACAGAAGTATTTAAGGTATCTAAAAGCAATGAGCTAAATGCCCTCAAGAAATTCTATTATTAAAATTTATGACAAGCCAGTCTCTGAATGATTTTTTCCCATTAGTTCAATTATATTGAAAGTTTTATTCCCGACAAAAATAAGCTTAAAAAAGTTTTATTTTTATCTGTGACGCACTTATGGCTTTGAAGAGGTTAAATGCTAAAATTTTTATGAAAGATTATAGTAAGAGGAACGCAAGTTACTGAATATTTGAAGAACCTTGGAATTTTTGCTAGCTGAATAACTGGAATGCAGCGCAACTGCAACATTATTGTCAACAGCAGGATCCTGAGGAACATCCTGATGAGAATTAGGTTCGATGCACACATTCATCTCTTTAACAGATGGCTTAGGAGCTAATACGTTTGCAGAATCTGAAATGTCAAAAACACTCATACACAACTTTAGCCACCTTTGCTTAAATATATTTTTCATAAAAAGCTTTGCAAATCAACCTTCAGTTCATTAAGATAACACAGCTAAGCACCTGCCTTGATAGTA